CTATAATTATGAGATCAAAGCCAAAATTCAATAACTCTGAGATAGAGGGAAAATTCAAGAATTCTGAGATCAAAGCCAAGATTCTATACTCTGAGAGCAAAGCCAAAATTCAATAACTCTGATATAAAGGGAAAATTAAAGAATTCTGAGATCAAAGTCAACATTTTATAACTCTGAGATCAAAGCCAAAATTCTAGAATTCTGAGATCAAAGCCAAACTTGTGTAACTCTGAGATCAAAGCCAAAATCCTATAACTCTGATCTCAGAGTTATAGAATTTTGGGTTTGACCTCAAAGGCAAAATTCAAGAATTCTGAGATCAAAGTCGAAATTCTATGACTCTGAGATAAAAGCCAAAATTCTATGACTCTGAAATCAAAGGCAAAGTTCTATAACTCTGAGATCAAAGCCAAAATTCTATGACTCTGAGATCAAAGGCAAAGTTCTATAACTCTGAGATCAAAGGCAAACTTCAAGAATGCTGAGATCAAAGGTTAAATTCTATAACTCTGAGATCAAAGCCAAAATACTATAACTCTTAGATCAAAGGCAAAATTCAAGAATTCTGAGATCAAAGCCTAAGTTCTATAATTCTGAGATCAAAGCCAAAATTGTATAACTATGAGATCAAAGCCAAAATTCAAAAACTCTGAGATAGAGGGAAAATTCAAGAATTCTGAGATCAAAGCCAAGATTCTATACTCTGAGAGCAAAGCCAAAATTCAATAACTCTGAGATCAAAGCCAAAATTCTATGACTCTGAGATCAAAGGCAAAATTCAACAAGATCTTGGACTGCTGTAACAAATGTTTTTTCTATGATTCTGAGATCAAAGCCAAAATTCTATAATTCTGAGATCAAAGCCAAAATTCTGTAATTCTGAGATCAAAGCCAAAATTCTGTAATTCTGAGATCAAAGCCAAACTTCTGTAATTCTGAGATCAAAGCCAAACTTCTATAACTCTGAGATCAAAGCCAAAATTCTATACTCTGAGATCAAAGGCAAAATTCAAGAAGGCTGAGATCAAAGGCAAAATTCTATAACTCTGAGATCAAAGCCAAAATTCTATACTCTGAGATCAAAGCCAAAATTCAATAACTCTGAGATCAAAGCCAAAATTCTATGACTCTGAGAGCAAAGCCAAAATTCTATGACTCTGAGAGCAAAGGCAAAATTCAACAAGATCTTGACATGCTGTAACAAATGTTTTTTCTATGATTCGGAGATCAAAGCCAAATTTCTGTAACTCTGAGATCAAAGCCAAACTTCTGTAACTCTGAGATCAAAGCCAAAATACTATAACTCTGAAATCAAAGGCAAAATTCAAGGATTCTGAGATCAAAGGCAAAATTCTATAACTCTGAGATCAAAGCCAAAATTCAATAACTCTGGGATCAAAGAGAATTCTGAGATTAAAGGCAAAATTGTATAATTCTAAGATCAAAGCCAAAATTCAATTACTCTGTGATAAAGGGAAAATTCAGGAATTCTGAGATCAAAGCCAAAATTCTATAACTCTGAGATCAAAGGCAAAATTCAACAAGATCTTGAACTGCTGTAACAAATGTTTTTTCTGAAATTCTGAGATCAAAGCCAAAATTCTATCACTCTGACATCAAAGCCAACATTTTATAACTGAGATCAAAGCCAAAATTCTATGACTCTGAGATCAAAGCCAAAATTCTATAACTCTGAGATCAAAGCCAAAATTCTGGAATTCTGAGATCAAAGCCAAAATTCTATGACTCTTAGATCAAAGCCAAACTTGTGTAACTCTGAGATCAAAGCCAAAATTCTATAACGATGAGATCAAAGGCAAAATCCTGTAACTCTGATCTCAGAGTTATAGAATTTTGGGTTTGACTTCAAAGGCAAAATTCAAGAATTCTGAGATCAAAGCAAAAATTCTATAACTCTGAGATCAAAACCAACATTCTATGACTCTGAGATCAAAGGCAAAATTCAACAAGATCTTGAATTGCTGTGACAAATGTTTTTTCCAATATTCTGAGATAAAAGCCAAAATTCTATAATTCATAGATCAAAGCAAAATTCTATAACTCTGAGATCAAAGCCAAAATTCTATAACTCTGAGATCAAAGCCAAGATTCTATGACTCTGAGATATAGGGAAAATTCAAGAACTCTGAGATCAAAGCCAAAATTCTATGACTCTGAGACCAAAGGCAAAATTCAACAAGATCTTGAATTGCTGTAACAAATGTTTTTTCTATAATTCTGAGATGAAAGCCAAAATTCAAGAATTCTGAGATCAAAGCCAAAATTCTACAACTCTGAGATCAAAGCCAAAATTCTATAACTGTGAGATCAAAGGCAAAATTCAAGAAGATCTTCAACTGCTATAACAAATGTTTTTTCTATAATTCTGAGATCAAAGGCAAAATTCTATGACTCTGAGATCAAAGGCAAAATTATATACGCTGAGATCAAAGCCAAAATTCAATAACTCTGAGATAAAGGGAAAATTAAAGAATTCTGAGATCAAAGTCAAAATTCAATAATTCTGACATCAAAGGCAAAATTCTATAATTCTGAGATCCAAGCCAAACTTCTGTAACTCTGAGATCAAAGCCAAAATTCTATAACTCTGAGATAAAAGCCAAAATTCTATAATTCTGAGATCAAAGGCGAAATTCAACAATTCTGAGATAAAAGCCAAAATTCGATAACTCTGAGATCAAAGGCAAAATTCTATAACTCTGAGATAAAAGCCAAAATTCTATAATTCTGAGATCAAAGGCGAAATTCAACAATTCTGAGATAAAAGCCAAAATTCTATGACTCTGAGATCAAAGGCAAAATTCTGTAATTCTGAGATGAAAGGCAAAATTCTATAAGTCTGAGATCAAGGCCAAGATTCAGGAATTCTGAAATCAAAGCCGAAATTCTATAACTCTGAGATCAAAGGCAAAATCCAAGAATTCTGAGATCAAAGCCAAAGTTCTATGACTCTGAGATCAAAGGCAAAATTCAAGAATTCTGAAATCAAAGCCAAAATTCTATAATTCTGACATCAAAGGCAAAATTCTATGACTCTGAGATCAAAGGCAAAATTCAAGAATGCTGAGATCAAAGGTTAAATGCTATAACTCTGAGATCAAAGCCAACATTCTATAACTCTGACATCAAAGGTAAAATTCTATGACTCTGAGATCAAAGGCAAAATTCTGTAAGTCTGTTATCAAAGCCAAAATTCTATAACTCTGAGATCAAAGCAAGCCAAAATTCTATGACTCTGAGATATAGGTAAAATTCAAGAATTCTGAGATCAAAGCCAAAATTCTATAACTCTGAGATCAAAGGCAAAATTCAAGAAGATCTTCAACTGCTGTAACAAATATTTTTTCTATAATTCTGAGATCAAAGCCAAAATTCTATAACTCTGAGATCAAAGGCAAAATTCAAGAATTCTGAGATCAAAGCCAAAATTCTGTAACTCTGAGATCAAAGCACGCCAAAATTCTATAACTCTGAGATCAAAGGTAAAATTCTGTAAGTCTGAGATCAAAGCCAAAATTCTATAACTCTGAGATCAAAGTAAGCCAAAATTCTGTAACTCTGAGATCAAAGATAAAATTCAAGAAGATCTTGAACTGCTGTAACAAATGTTTTTTCTATTATTCTGAGATCAAAGGCAAAATTCTATAACTGATATCACAGGTAAATTTCAAGAATGCTGAGACGAAAGCCAAAATTCTTTAACTCTGAGATCAAAACCAAAATTCTATAACTCTGCACTGAAAAAAGTGATTCTGAGCATTTTTAAATATAACATTAATGAAATCTGTGAAATTAACAATAAAAATCTGTTCTGTATCTTTACATGAAAATGTATCGTTTGAAATTAATATGCATTATGTTCAAAATACAATATATTGTGTTTTTTCATTTACAAGCGTTATGTAGTTATCCCAGTCGATCTTCTCAAGTACATACACTCAAAGAACAATAAACTTGTTTCATTTACGTTGTTCTGTAATCCCGCCAACTGACACTTGCATTCTGGGTACCTCCTGCATGAAAACCGCAGAGTGCCACATTTCCAGAGGCCGAGCTTATGGTTGAGTCGACTGAACTTTAAGGTAAGAATATATTTTGCTTAGTAGCTGGTTAGATTAGATATTACCGTATTTTCAGTTTTCAGAATGTTGTATGTGGTTTTTCTGTGTCGTGGCTCCCGAACGCCAGCCAACAGGGCCGCCAGAAATTAGACGGCGCCAGCCTGTTGGGACGCTAGTTTCTAGTTTTCATAACTTTGTTGGTCTTTTCGTTTAATTTGAAGATGAACGTTAGCAAGTGGCTTTACTCGAGGCCTCGTGTGTGACGTTACCTTGCACCAAAAATCCACCGGGCCCCTCTGCCGCCCGTTGCGTGAGCGTCGCGTATTTGGTCCGTCCTGCACGCGACTTCAAAACCTACCGGGAGCGTTTCAGAAGCGAGCGTTTAATTCAATTTCAATTCGATTTGTATAGCGCCAATTCATAACAGAAGTTATCTCAGGACACTTTTCAAATAGAGCAGGTCTAGACCGAACTCTTTAAAACATTAATTACAGAGACCCAACAGTACCAGCAAGCACCTGGCGACAAGGGCAAGGAAAAACTGCCTGTTGAAAGGCAGAAACCTAGGACAGATCCTTCGGCTCTAGGTGGGTGGTCGTCTGTCTCGACCAGTTGGGGTGAGAGAGAGAGAGAGAGAGAGAGACAGAGAGACAGACAGACAGACAGGTGCACAGCAACAACAGTATTGACAATGGCAATCTAGCAGGACCATGGCAGGAGGCTCCACCAGGATCGATAAGAACCTGCGAGACGAGAAAGCACAAGAACTCCGGGGAAGAAGTGAAGTTAGTAACATGCATTAATGGAACATGAATGAGTGCAGAAAGAGAGAGGAAGGGAGGAGCTCAGTGCACCATGGGAAATCCCCCGATAGTCTAGGCCTATAGCAGCATAACTAAGGGATGGTTCAGGACTCACCTGATCCAGCCCTAACTATAAGCTTTATCAAAGAGGAATGTCTTAAGCCTACTCTTGAATATGGTGAGGGTGTCTGCCTCCCGAACCGCAACTGGAAGCTGGTTCCACAGGAGAGGAGCTTGGTAACTGAAGGCTCTGGCTCCTGTTCTACTTTTAGAGACTATAGGAACCACAAGTAGCCCAGCATTCAGAGAACGTAGTGTTCTAGTGGGGTAATATGGTACTATGAGCTCTTTAAGATATGAAGGGGCCTGACCATGAAGAGCTTTATAGGTGAGGAGGAGGATTTTAAATTCTATTCTACATTTTACAGGGAGCCAATGCAGAGAAGCTAGTACAGGAGAGATGTGATCTCTTTTTCTAGTTCCTGTCAGTACTCGTGCTGCAGCGTTCTGAATTAATTGGAGCGTTTTAATGGACTTATTGGGGCAACCTGATAATAAAGGGTTGCAGTAATCCAGCCTTGAAGTAACAAATGCATGGATTAGTTTTTCTGCATCTGTCTGTGATAGTATGTGTCTATTTTTTGTAATATTACGTAAATGAAAGAAGGCAGTCCTAGAGGTTTTCTTTATGTGGGAGTTAAATGACAAATCCTGATCAAAGATAACTCCAAGATTCCTGACAGTGGTGCTAGAGGCCAAGTTAATGCCATCTAGAGTAACTATATCTTTAGACAGTGAGTCTCTAAGGTTTTTGGGGCCAAGAACAAGAATTTCGTTTTTTTCTGAGTTTAACATCAGAAAATTGCAGGTCATCCAGGATTTTATGTCCTTAAGACATGTTTGTAATTTAGATAATTGATTATTTTCATCGGGCTTGATTGATAGATATAACTGCGTATCATCTGCATAACAGTGAAAGTTAATGGAGTGATTCCTAATAATGTTGCCTAAAGGGAGCATATATAAAGTAAATAGTATTGGTCCAAGTACAGAACCTTGTGGAACTCCATGACTAACTGTAGTGTTTATTGAAGATTCATCGTTAACATGTACAAACTGCGAGCGATCTGATAAATATGACTTAAATTAGCCTAGTGCGGTTCCTTTAATGCCAATTTGATGCTCAAGTCTCTGTAAAAGAATATCATGGTCAATGGTGTCAAATGCAGCACTAAGATCTAATAATACAAGTACAGAGACAAGTCCATCGTCAGAAGCAATCAGAAGGTCATTATTAACTTTAACCAGAGCTGTCTCTGTGTTGTGATGAACGACTACTTTCTCCAGAATCTTAGAGAGGAAGGGGAGGTTAGAAATCGGTCTATAGTTGGCTAAAACCCCTGGGTCAAGAGTGGGCTTTTTAAGAAGGGGTTTAATTACAGCTACTTTAAAGGACTGTGGTACATATCCTGATAATAAAGAAAGATTAATCATATCCAGTAAAGAAGTGCCAATTAAGGGAACAACTTCTTTAAGCAGCCTAGTTGGGATCGGGTCTAATAGACAGGTTGATGGCTTCGATGAAGAAATGATTGAAGTTAACTAATGAAGATCGATAGCAGAAAAACAGTCTAAATATATATCTAACTTTACATTAGCAAAAGTCCCTGAACTTGGAGAGCCACTGATAACTATTGATGGCAGTTGGTGATTAATTTTCTCTCTAATAGTAATCATTTTATTATAGAAGAAGCTCATGAAGTCATTGCTACTTAAGCTTATGGGGATATGTGGCTCAATAGAGTTGTGACTCTCTGTCAGCCTGGCTACAGTGCTGAAGAGGAACCTAGGGTTATTCTTATTTTCTTCTATTAATGCTGAGTAATAGGCTCCTCTGGCATTACGGAGGGCCTTTCTATAAGTTTTAAGATTATCTTGCCAAATTGAGCGATGTTCTGATAATTTGGAGGAGCGCCATTTCCTTTCAGATTTCCTAGCTATTTGTTTTAACTGGCGGGTTTGGTGGTTGTACCACAGTGCTAGTCTCCTATTTTTTAATAATTTCCTTTTTATAGGAGCGATACAGTCTAATGTTGATCGTAGTGAGCCTGCAGCACTATCGACAAGATTATCAATTTCAGAGGGACTAAAGTCGTTATAGGACTCTGTTAAATTCAGACATGGCATTGAATTAAACACTGAAGGAATCGCCTCCCTTAAATTTAGCCCGCCAGACTTTGTTTACTTGCTCAGATTTGGCCATTTTCCCGGTGTATGTTCTTCTAAACATGCTTCTACATGTGTAAATATGCTACGTATTTAATAAGTTTCGCTTTTGTCTGTTTTAACGACTGGCAGTTTGCATGGAGTATTTTATTTTGAAAATTCACCGGATTCTCTATAGAAAATAGTTGATTCTAGTGTAATTTGAAGTTAACATTAGTATGTGGCTATAAGGAAAAACCACACTCCTGCTATGTTTAAGGCTTGGTTCGAAGCGCAAATGGGATCGCCAGAAATTAGACAACTACACTGGATGAAGGTATCCTTACCAGGTGACTCTACAACTACAGATGAAGGTTTGTATATACAAACACTTGCTTAATGGTAGCATCGAATGTGGGGCAAAAATTAGATTCACTGTTCACTCATGGGCCTGACAATAAGTTGGTTATATATATTTTATGTGTGTAATTCATCTGTATCTAGAACAGCGTGATTTATTCGAACTTTATTGTAAATATATTTGCAACATGTGTGTGTTACTAGCTGGAGAGAGTTTGCTATTAAATTAATGTTTAAAAAACATTACATTTGCTAAAAATGCTTTATTAGTTTACTTTTGCAATTTTGAAAGTCGCACATCTTCCTGTTTTTAAGATTCAAGAGTGTTTTGGGGGCACTTGTTAATTCCCAATTTCAGCCAGGCACATGCCAAAATTGCACTGCCAAGAAAAACTTTGCCGACTTCATTATATGTGCAAGCTAATGAACACAATGCTTAGCTCATGAAGCTTTGAGAATAAAGGCTAAACTTACCTGATTAACTGTGGGGGGAAAAATTAGCAGTATATTTACCTGAGGCAGCTGTCAGAATAAAAGCCATACTTGCCTGATTACGTTATTGAAGGTGGCCTAGTTTAAGTTCAGTTTTTTCTTTCAATTCTTGAGTTTCATACTTTCCTGAACAGTTGTATGCTCTTGAACATGCATATGCCTCAGAACAATATGCTTCAGCAATATAATCTGTAATATTTGACCGATCTACAGGCTTCATTAGGAACACGTGTGCAATCTAATGCAATCCAATACAACAGATCTGCCATAAAGTCTATTTTTACGAAGCTTATACATTTTTGGTTTTTGTTGACATTGTCAGAAAGGTGATAATTCTACTTTATGTTCATTATTGAGTTCATAGTGGTAGTGTACTGGACTCGAGTGCATTATATTGAGCAGAGATCCATGTACTTTTGTCCAATCCATTAACATATTTGAGGGGGACAAAATATTAACACTTTTCAATATATTGCACTCCATTACACCAGCACCACCCAGCCACCCAGTACAACCTCAATAATAAACATAAAGTATAATTATTTATTTTCAAAATTCTCATTTCATATTTTTGGAGGACAGCAACATTGAGTCCCGAAGAGAAGTTGTGATCAGAGGCCTCACTCTCTACATTGGTGAAAATACTGGAGAGTTAATCAAGGACTACCAGGTAAAGAAAATATAACTCTGATTCAAAGCCCTGTCAATATGAGACAAGTTTGTGCAAAAATAGCTGTTTGCTGATGATAATTTGATAAGAGTTTTTAGTAGATTTTTAATAATGTGCCTATGTAGAAATTATTGGGATTTGATTTGATTCATTTAATTGTATTAAAATGCCCTACACATGAAGGACACAAAGTACAATCGAGGATAAAAAACACCAAGTCCAGGACTTATTTCCATTGTGGTCTTCATAAATATTTTAGTGTCTAATTATTAAAACTGCTGCAGTGAAACATGGAAAATCATCACAGATATCTAGAGACTACTTGTACTCTATGTACAAGAATATCCTGGGGTTTGCTTATAACTGCTGCTAACAATTGGATTTGATTATTTTATGGAATTTTGAAGATTGGAATCTATTGGAATATGATTTTGCTTTGCTATATGATTATTAAAAACGCTGTAGTGAAAGAACAAGAAAGTAATGACTGATGTATAACCATTTATAGAACTATGTAGCTTATTATACCTGAGATTGTTTGACTCATGTGGGTGTTGTTCATAGTATACAGTTTGATAAATCGATTTGTAGTTTGGTCCATACAATGTAAGAAAATGGTAAAAAATCAATCACTGTTTCCCAAATCCCAAGACACAACCTAATATGTCTTGTTTTGTCCTGATCAACAGTCCACAATTTAAAACTTTCACATCAGAGAATCTGGGATTTTTCTTCTTAAAAAAATGACTCAAAGAAAATTATCAAAATTGTTGACGATTAATTTAGTTGTTAGCAACTAATTGATTAATCAACTAATCGTTGCAGCTCCTGTCTATTTATCAGTAGGGTCAACACTTGGCTCCACGGCAGCATATCTTGACATGTGATAAGATGGTAAATGGTAAATGGACCTGTACTTGTATAGCGCCTTTCTAGTCTTCCGACCACTGAAAGCGCTTTTACACTACTTTTTAAGTAGACCAAGCATGATACAAAATATTGTGCCTGATGTACTTAAAAAAGGTAAGGCAACTTTTTGCATCAGATTATTATGTAGATAATGCAAGGCTAGTCTTTGTATAGGCTACTTAATTTCTTGAATGTAAGAAATGAGTTTTAGAAGTAAAGTCTACTTCATTTAGTAAGTAAAGTCAACTTAGCTTAATTAAATAGACTTCTACTTAAACTAAATTGACTTTACTTGATAAATTAATATTGACTTTACTTGCAAAACTCATTTCTTACACACAAGAAATTAAGTAGCCTATACAAAGACTAGCCTTGCTTTATCTACATAATAATGTGATGCAAAAAGTTGCCTTACCTTTTTTAAGTAGATCAAGCTCAATATTTTTATCAGTGAAGGCAAAATTCAAGAATTCTGAGATTAACCCTAGCAGAAACGTTTTTTTTTTTGTTTTTTTTTTTAAATACTTTATTAGAAACAATAGCATGTAAAACAATTTTGTAGTTAAATCCTGAAACGAATCATTTTTGGCCATAAAAGGAAACGTGATCATTTTTTTTCTTCCGTAATGTGATTTGTATTATATTTTGTATTATATGTGCAATTATATTTGTTTGTTTGTTTGTTTGTTTGTTTGTTTGTTTCATTTATTGTCCACAATGTGGAAATTTGTCTTTGGTCTCATAAAAACAACAAGCAGGATGGCAACAACAACAACAACAACACTTACTCTCAAACAACTTCAGGGAAAAAAGCAGGACAGCAATGGCAGTTACATTAAGAACGCATCAACGGGACATGGTACTTTGCATCGTCTACCAGAGGGAAGAAGTTCAAACTCCCTATTAAGTGGATGAGAGGGATCATTAGCTATTTTGACAGCTTTTTTCCTAAGCACATCCTTATACACACAACTTAATTGTTTCTGTCTTATACCTATGACTTTTGAGGCTATGTTTACAATTCTCTGCAGCTTGCTTCTTCCTTTTATGTTTAGATTACCGTACCACATTGCCATGTTAAAAGTTAAGATACCCTCTATCAGGT